ATCGCGAATGTGAGAAATTCCAATTGCAATCGCTTACAGAAGATCAGTTCAAATGCCTCATTTTTGTCGCTGGACTTCAATCTTCTCAGGAATCAGATATTCGCACGCGATTGCTATCCAAACTTGAGCACGAAAAAGACATTACTGTGAAAGACCTCACCACAGAATGCCAGCGCTTGCGCAATCTCAAACATGATACCGCAATGGTACAGCAAGAGTCGCGATCGCCTATTTCCAGCAGCGTCATGACATTGAAGCGAACCTGTCACTCCTGGAAAAAAGCCACCAACATCATGTTGGTCATGTGGTGAATGGCATTATGCACGTTTTTGTCCATTCAAGAAACATCAGTGCCAAGCATGCCATCGTTGGGGCCATAAAGAAGGCTTTTGCCGTACCCACAATGCCAAATCACCATTAAACCCAAAGAACGATAACAGTCCGATGAAAGACTCAATCAAAAGGCGGACGTACAAGCAACGAATACAATCCAATTCTCTGTTTGCTACGTTTCAAGTTGAATTTGAATCCCGCAGGAAATACATAACAGTTTCCATCAACAATTTCCCGATCCGTTTGCAGCTTGACACAGCTTCGGATATAACATTAATATCACGTTCAGTTTGGGAATCAATTGGGAAACCTGTTTTATCCTCCACGAACCATCGGGCCAAAAGCGCCTCTGGCAGCACTTTAAAACTAACAGGCAAGTTGTCTTGTGATGTGTTATTCAACAATGTGCACTTCTCAGGAACATGCTATCTCACCGATTGTCCGAAATTAAACATACTCGGACTCGATTGGATCGAGAAACTTGACCTTTTCCGTGTACCTTTATCATCTGTGTGCAGTACTCTGAAATTTTCATCCTCCTCAGACATTGCAGAACACTACTAACACACTGAAGACAAAATTCAACGATGTCTTCCAAAGTGGCCTTGGATGCTGTACCAAAACCAAGGCAAGCCTCAAACTCCAACCTGCTTCCACACCAATTTTCAGACCGAAGCGTCCCGTGCCATTTGCTGCTCTCGCAACTGTGGAGAATGAACTTGTTCGTCTCCAGCAATCCGGAGTTATCCAGCCAGTAAACCATTCATCATGGGCAGCTCCCATTGTTGTCATCAAAAAAGCAAATGGCAAGGTGCGCATATGTGCTGATTATTCCACTGGATTAAACGCCGTGTTAGACTCTCACCAATATCCATTGCCGGTACCAGAAGATTTGTTCACCAAGCTCAATGGTGGAAGATGTTTCGCAAAACTGGATCTTGCTGATGCTTACCTTCAGATAGAAGTCTCTGATGACTCCAAAGAACTTCTGACAATTAACACACATCGCGGTTTGTTTCAATTTAACCGTTTGCCATTTGGGGTAAAATCTGCACCAGCAATATTTCAACAAACAATGGATGCCATGCTAAACGGTCTATCAGGAGTTGCTGCTTATTTGGATGACATCATTCTTACAGGTTCTAGTCAAGAAGAACTTCTGCATCGTTTACATTGCGTACTCGAACGGATTCAACAATATGGTTTTCGTCTACGTGCAGAGAAGTGCGCATTTTTTCTCACTTCTATCAAATATCTTGGATTTATTTTTGACGAACATGGTCGTCATCTAGACCCAGAAAACATTTCTGCCATACAACACGTGCGATCACCACCATTTCATCCACAATCAAATGGTCAAGTGGAAAGATTTGTGGACACTTTCAAACGCGCACTCCAAAAACTCAAAGGGGAGGGGATCACACCGGAAGTCATCGAGACATTTCTGCTGAGTTACAGGGCGACACCAAATGTTAACACTCCACATGGTAAGTCCCCGGCGGAGGTACTTATGAACCGGAAGGTCCGCTTACCCGTTGACGTCATCCGTCCAACACCACATTCGCCAACCGGTAGAAACATAAATATGGAAGTTCAGTTCAACCGACATCACGGTGCTGCAAAGAACATATTTATACCCGGCCAATCTGTGCTAGCGAAAGACTATCGTGGTGGCGCGGAAAAGTGGACACAAGGCATAATTGTGCGCCGGGCCGGAAGAGTTGTCTATGAGGTAAATGTAGGCTCCTCTATCTGGGTCCGTCATGCCAATCAGCTACACGCTTCCTATCTTCCAGCGGCACCTACACTCGACCCTGTTCTTCCACTGGAGACTCTTCTCGACACATTTGAGTTAGCTCAAAAGCCAAAATCTCCAGAGCCGATGAATGAACCAGAAATTTCCAAAAGTTGTACACCCAGAAGATGGACCGACCGGATCAGAAAGCCTGTCATACGAATGCAACTGAACCCACAACTCCAGTCGTACGAACAATGACTTCAAAGGGGAGGTGTTAGGAGGCACTCCTAACGAACATATTGCTCAACATTTCTCTCTCTCTATTTCAGCCTTTCATTGGACTGTTTTTTTCCATTCCGTCCTTGATTCTCGATATCGGCTGTTCAGTTGCTGCAGTATAATTTCCTCAAGGCTTTTTGTCTTCTCAATTTCGTGTGTAACTGACAAGGTTGATTGACTGATTAGTAGAAAACATGACATCCATCTCCTTGGCTTTTGCGATCCACAAGCGTTCTCTTTTATTTTTCAAGCTCCTGATTATCTGGCGTATGAGGGATCTACGTGTGCCATCACAGTCACTTTTTGCTGGCACGGCCTTTCTGGCAAAAACGAGATCCACTGAACTCAACGAAATCCAGTGCTCTTTTAGTCAAATCGGATGGCTTGTACAAAGAGTCCCGAAAGCTGAGAGTATGGCTTATACAACCCGCTTCCATCAACCTACAAGAAACCTTCACCTGAATGACTGCGACTCCCGTAGATTTATAGCCAGACCACCTTGATATGCTTGCGCTACTGCATCTTATCACATTTGATAGACGGGATTACTCCGATTTGACAGGCGTATTGCTGATGGAAAGCGAGGTGATAAGCGGGTCCCACAATGGCATGTTCAGAGTCAAGTTACGTGCCCCAGAAGGAAACACAATGTTTAACTGAGGCTTTCCATCGGTAACTGGGAGTTCGTAGTGGCCAGAAACAGATGATCGGCACACAACTGAAGAGGTCACTCCCTATTATCCGCACTCCAAATCTACCACCTAGTTGTGCTTCTTCCGGGCTTAGTTACCCAAATGGCATTCGTATCACCCGCGAGAATTACTATAAATTCTCTTTTACTGACTGGGGGAAAAGTAAGGTAAGAGATACATATTGCGCAATTTGACACAGAGGACAGACATTGAAGGCTGCAACGTGGGTAGGATCTTTTGAAGTTATTAGGCGATATTTTATTTATTTTTCTTGGTGACGGTTTGGACACGAAACAATATTTGGGGAATGGCGGATGGACTGATCACATTGCATTATTAGGTGAGTGGAAAAGGGGTGGGTGAGCTAGTGAGCGGAGAGCTGCAAGGGCGAATGACACTTCCCGAGTGAAGAAGGGGGTTTAGTTGAGGTAGCCCACCTTGAGACTTTGAATTAAAAGTCCGATCCACAAGGCAGTGGGAGGATATAAGGACACAAAGTCTGAACTACTAGGCAGAGGCTTTTAGGGTTCGCTTGGGGGACCCTTAACGCAGCCAGTGACTCAGTAGTCTGAGTAAGGCATTACTGTCTCACTTTTAATGCGGTTATGCACAGCAGAAACTTTTAAGCAGCACCGGCCTCTTTGGAACTGAAAGCATTTTGACCGTACTGAATAATGCTCCAGCGGTCACAGCCAACATATTCTAACCCGTCTTTTCTCGAGGGAAGGCAGTGTCACCGCTTTCATGAATATGCACATGCTGGTCGATTGGGGGAAACGCCTTACTGTATTCACACTTCTCTCGCAGAGGACAGTACGACTTTACCTCCAGACCACTTCGTAACACAGTTTCTCGCACGACGAGGGCTATTTGTTCCTCATCGGGGTGCTCCTCGTTTGTGTTTGTGACACGGTCTGAACGCTTTGGAACAGATATTCGACCAATATAGCCTGTGGGCTCGTTCCAACACAGAAGCCCGACCACCATGGCAAGGTGAGAGCGTTAGGCAGAGTACAGCGCTTTAAGGCGGGTCATTTCGGATGTACACAAAAAATATGCACCAGCTAAGACCCATTGCTATCGTACTTTTATACATTCAAAGCGCATTCCAGCTCTCCTGTCAAAGCCACCGTACAAGTGAGGTTACAATCCGTTATTCTCGATGACTCCTGAGCCCAAATGATTGTGCAGTTGCCACGCGGAGAGCTCAAGATACATCAGTGGTTAAGGCGCCAAAATACTGCCGGCAAGTCCAAAGTTCGAATGCAAGCCTCGAATCTCTACTACCTCTGTCTAGGCTCCGGCAACCAGACAGTAACCCGGTCCCCATTGTAGCCAACACTGAAAAAAGCCCCAGTGTGGCCGACGCTGCTTCAAGGTACCCAAGCTCCTATATCGTGCAGTAGACCTATTGGACGTGACTACTACCGAACCACTGTTATGTATCTGCGTGAAATCCAACACGGAGTACGTAATGGAGAGCCTGGCGAAAAAATCCTGGAGCATAGAGTGAAATGCCATCGAAGGCTCAGTACATTGACTGGAGACCTGGTGGCCTACAAAAGGTATTCAAGACAATATTATGCTCGATTCCCAGATTATGCCTAACTCCAACCAGCGCTTCGCTCGCTGATACTCTAAAAAATCAACACAGTCACCTCAACTGACGTTCGAACCACTATATTATGTTAGCCACTTTCGGAAATCATTCCCATGGGGAGCAAAGATACCCGCGACGATTATCAGTCAGTCGGAATCCAAGTCAACTGATGGGAAAAAACATGAAAGGGTGAGCCTAGATCCTGGTTCACACCGTGTTTTTTTCAAGTCCCAGAAACAAGAAACGTCCTAATAGTGCAGTATGATTGGGTTTCATGGTTGGGTGTTAAAAAAAATGAAATTTCAGCGGAAACCAATTACGGGAAATTTGAGGAAATTCGCCAAACAATGTTACCCACCCAGAAGAGCTCACAGAGGGATGAGGTGAAGTGGATCTATTTATGGTGCAACATTTGTCGGAAGATTGCGGACAGGCGACAGGGAAAGTAGAACCCCGATGACCCGTTAAGAAAGTCGTCACTTCCATCCTCAGCTGGCCTTGAAATCAAAACCACGGTTCACCTTCCTGTGACCTTGACCTTCATGGCTTCGAGGGATTCACGGATTCACGGATTGATACAAGACCACTGGGTGGGGTGGTGCAGTAATGACCGTCCCGTCACAAAAAGGATGTGTTCGCTTAGTTGCACCTATACCGAAATGCGCCCTACGGCTTACCGGGGGTCGCGTACTAAGGCTCGCGGAATCAGGAACGAGCATATGGTGCTTTGGCGTCTTCCCATAATAGGTGCAACATTGGAAGTGATAGAGACCTAAGGCCGGCCTCTAGTTGGACTATGTCTCCAATTGTTGCGTTAAACACGGGCTATTCCCGCATGGACCGGAATACATTATGAGGATAGATGGCAAAAAATATTTGGGTGTCTGGCTCTATTCAAACTTGTCCTTCTCAGTTTCATGACAGACCGGCCCAAAAAGCACTTGCCGTTCTACGGATGATTGGGCACTGCAACTTGGAACCCAACAAATGGGTCTTGTGGGGGTGAGCTTAACGACTACTTATGCTGGGCACACTGATGTCAATAGCCTCCGGGTTGAGGGAGCTGTTAGAGTGACACGAGCTACAGGCCTACAATGACTTCAACGGTAATATAAGCCATAAATGAATAGCTGACACTTGGGCTCCGCAAGTTCGGTTTACAGGATAGCCGAATAGAAGTTGACAAGTGCTTCCGCTGCGGCTTGATTCATGTGGTGGAAAGCGCTTTCGGAGAATTCTGGGGTCAAAGGGGAAATCTAGGAAAACCTGGAACCCATATGCCGGAAGATAATTTCTTAAAGACTGTCCATGGCCGGGAAATGAGCACCGTGATGCCGCTGAAGGACTTGACTGTGATGACACAGAGACCTCGGCAACTTAAATTCAGAGCTTTTGACACCTGCCCCCCGGGGAAATCAGAGACAGGCCGACCTTTTTTAAGTTTACCAACCCCGGAGGCACTTTGAGTAATTCTCTGAGTTTTAAAACAATGGGGTGAAAGGAAAGACGGGCCACCATGACAGCTTGTGGCAGGCACTGAGAGATAATGCCACGAAGAGGCGATCGAAGCCCGCTTAATTGACGGCTAGTATGTCAGAATGCCTATCCTATGGACTCGGCAGAGGTTTGGAGGCCATATGTTCAGGATTGCTGACATGGCACATTTTGATCCTTAGTTTACACTTCGCACTAGGTAGGAATTGAGTACACAAGACGCCAGTGGCTTATTTAGCATGGGCGTGGATCCGGGAGGCCCAAACTTGTGCCTACCTAAGCACATCCCTCGCCACAGAGCTGAGCACATATTTGGCAAGAATAAAAATCTGCGTTGGTCGTCCTATTTCGGCTTGGGGGGAGGCTGCGGGAAATTCGACGGTTTCTTCAAACCAGACACGTCTACTGAAACGCAGCACTGTTTGTGCGACCAGTGGTTCGGATGCATTAAAGGTCGAGCCTCGGATGTTTTAGTAAGTCATACACACGTAGATGGCACATCTCTGATTCATGGAATGAATGAATCATACACTTGGTGTATATACCCTGCCACTGATAAAAAACTTAAATTATTCTGGCACCACTGCCGTTTCAGATGGGGAAGTACTTCTGTAGTCACCGAAATTGGGAAGTGACCTTGTATTCTGCCAGCTCACTAAAATATGCACATATGCTTAGTGCAGGAGGTACATCAAATACATACTTTGGCTGAGCTGCAAGCTGAGCCTAATCGTGTAGCCATGACTTATAGTCTGCGGGGTTTAACCTCACGCAAAATGTTGCGACAGAATTAACTAATTGCTCGCAGCTTACTGGATCCGTACTAAGGTGTGCAAATTTATGCGCCTTAAAAGGTTGTGGGTGAATGGTTTTGGAGAGTTTTCACCCTCGTGGAATCACAGTGTGACTGAGCAGTTACACACAGTCATCAGAAGCATAGTTGATATGGATATCTCATCTTATCTTACATCGCTGTGCACTGTGAACTGGGGCCACGCTCGTTCGTGTATCTGCACTTGGTAAAAGAACATTTCGTGCAATGTCCTCGTAAGAGACAAGGCCTTGGAAGATGAAATGTGCTGAGCGGAACTGTTTCAGTTATTTGATAATTTAAAAAACTAAAATCAAACTTGAGTTCAATGAGAGGACCAAAACTGCAAATACACTCATTTGCATATCGCTTTTGTTCTCACGGAATACTCAATATGACCCCTGGTTTATGATATTTAACTGAATTTTGGGCACAAAGGCCGCATCATATCTCAGTTGGTACAGCGCTTGAAATATCGCAGCACATTTTCACAAAAGAAACAACCCACAAGGTTGCTGAAAACTCCTACAGATCACGACAGAGTTGCCCTTCTTTGATTCCATTCAAAGGGTGGATTCCACGAGTTTCCTTCAACCCGACGTTCCACTTGAACCAAAAGTGGAAACACCTCGACAAAGGCACAAAGGGTTGGCAGAAACTCAAGGACTGCACCTATACTGTCGGCTCCAAAAAGTCGAAACCGGTCCACAAATGTCAGAGTTTGCGGCAACCTTAAGAGTGGCTTCCGTCGAAAATAGGACCAAGCCTACTTTCACGACAGAAGCATGTTCGACAGCCTTTCTCAAAACAGGGACATAAATGATGCATCCTTCATATGGGAAGGCCCCAGAATGATGCTCTCGAATTAATTGCTTCTAGTGATTTATCCTACTTCGCTTTCTCACAAGTAATAATTAGTGAGTCGGCAGGCTTCTATCAGAACTTCATCTCTCCCCCTCGAAACATGCAGAATGAAGCCTGTGGGTCGAATCTCGCGGCGTTGATAGGTATGTCACATCTTCCGCTTTTGATGGGCTGGCACAGGTGTTTTACTCTGTCCCACTAGGTACGCTCACTGACCGTCTTGAAGGAGACTAGAAGAACTGCTCCTTGAAGTGTTCAACCCGAACGCTCAATAATATAATTCTGCCAACTGATTTCATTCCATCAATTTAGTGAACCGATTTGTTGGCATCCGCCTTCTTTTGACCGGCTGATTGGATCCAATAAAATGGTCGGCCCTGCTGCATGCAGCACAAATTTCCTCCAACTCCAGAGCATTTAGACCTCTGCTTTTTTCTGTCTTTGTCTGGACTCTTGATTGCCGAGCACTTGTGGAACCTTCTTTCACTTTTTAATTTGCTGATGTTGCTTGTCTGTAGATGGTAGGATAGGTTGACCTTACCAAAATTTTACTTTCATTTTCTCAGTCATAGATTTGGTGAACATGGAGCATAATTTATTCTCCAATTCATCCTGCAACCAGATGGCTGTCCAGTAAATGCAGCTACGTACCGTTTGACCGCCGATATTTGTTGAACTTGATTAGCGAGATCGCCTCACTTTGAATGTTGTGATCCCCTAGGAAAGCCTAGTCTGCGCAACGGTATAGTCGCAAGCCGTTTGTGTCCTTTGAAAGGAAATATTGATCAAGTATTTTTCTGAATAATGGACCGGCTTGTGGTCTGCATACACTAAGTAAATCGAAAATGAAAAGATCTGGTGTTTTTAAAGCCACCCAAGAGGGTTCCCGTAAATGTTTCGAAGAACCGGCGTACGTGTTCAGGGGAGAAGCGCTGTAGTGAGACATTGATAATGCGCAAGTTGTCATGCAGTGTGCACATTGAAGCAGCAGCCCGGATCGTTTCCCGCTGTCACAACGTTCCCAGACATGAATAAAGCACACGTGCAAAGAGTAACGCACCCCCAAGGTCAACATCCGTACGACACAATTTTGAAAGCAGGTGCGTTGGCAGAACTCACCAAACACGGCTTAACAATATAAAGCCAGTGGAGTGGGGCTGACATTGTTCACGACCGGAAAACCGCCATAGACTGTGCAGAACGAAGAAGTGAATGACCATACTTGATCAGTCAGACATCCTATGTATTTGCGCAGAAGCTCCGTGCGGTTTGATCTGACAATACAGCCCTGTCTCGAGTTCTCTGTCTTCTTATCGCGCTCAGTGCAGGCGTAACCAATTGACGGCCCCCTTCTTACAACACCCTCCATACTGGTGATAGATCGGCTCCATACTTTTTGTAGAGTGAACTTGCAAACACGGAACATTGGTCAGCCGACCATAAGATAACCATTTGCTGAGTAACGGTGGATAGTGAAGGCTGGTGTAGAATGACCCGCTTAAAGGGAGGATGATTTGGGACTGTCCAGGTAGCGGAGCATCGTCCATTGGTTCTCCCGCCCTGAGTTCTGACCCAAAATTGGAAGAATATGACGTTGGCCCCGCATTTCTAACAGTGGCCTCTGGCACGTAGGGAAGTGGGCAGCAATGTTTTTTTGGGGAACACTAACAGTGGTCCATTACTTCCTCGGCAGGGTAAGAAGCACCGACCTAGCACGAAAAGGCAGGGTTGGGGCACAGAACGTTTGGTAACTGCCTACTGTGCACGTCATTGCAAACATACCGGGCACCATTAGGCTCGGTTTAAATTTCAATTCCTGGAAAATCAACTGGTAGTCGAATTGATTAGATTTTTGGACCAAACCATCTCCAGTCCCCCTTTTTCTAGTGTAGGTGAAATCGTTTTCGGGTTCACAAACTTCACAGTCACCTAGAGACCACGCCTTTGGAATCACATCGCAGAGAGAAATTTGTTAACCGTTCGGAATGTAATCCTTCTCTGCCTAACCGGCGAGAATCATGCAAGGCTGGTCCTTCTCAGTGAACCAGCGCAGCAGCTTTATCTCCAACTGGTGGGTGGCATGGCTCCAGGCATGGTCACAAGATTACAGTCAAAATAAAGCTTGAGTTCGTTCGTATTTATGGCGATATGGTTCAGTTAACAGGAGGGAATAGATAGGGGTAAGCTATCAAATTGTCTTGCAGTGCCACGCCATCGTTTCACTGACATACTTCGGTTTCTGGACAGCCCCATAACGGACTCCATGTCTGGGATCATTGTGCTGGGATGCGAAATTCTTGGAGCGGCGGAGCAGTTTTATTTGGCCGAGAGAATCCTCAGAGGTAGAACAAAGCCACCATAATACCGAAGGTATTTTTCTGGTCTTGGGTGTAAACAACAAGCCAGGCGGGGTGAATAACGAGCAAACAGAAAGTTCGAATTGGGTAGATTTGTACCTGGTGGACTAGCGATCATGCGCGGGAAATACAAAAGATCCAGAGCAAACAGGCATACGCTTGCAGAGAGTTCGTGTGGTTAGGGAAATCAAACATATATGTACTGACGGGAGTAATACTTCCGAGATGACGGACTAATTTGTTTGGAATTTCTTACTTGAGTTCGACGTTACTATAATCCACTAGAGACACTTAATTTAAGAGGACTGGGTGAAAGTCCTCAAAGCACTGTTCCTGGACACGCAGTCATTGAACTTGCCATTTGTGATCCAATAATAGTCTAATGAATTTGTGGAGCGCTTTATACAAATTAGAGGTTATATTAGTTTCGACTAGGGTCCAACAGATGGAGTTAGGCACGAATCTGCAAGGCTCGGGTCGCGTTTGCTAATTTGAAATACCTAAGGCGTCGAAGTGGTATATTCCTGAATATCAAGGAACGTGTGTATAAGGGGTAGACACCGATCTGGAATTGTGGACAAGGGGATAAATATTATCAATTATTACAACTTTGCTTAAATCTGTGCTGCTTAAACGAGCGAACGGGAGTCATAATCGATTACACATTTTTCCTTCCCTACCGAATCAGGACTGGAGTGACTACACACCACTTTTTTGCCGACTTTTTTTACGCACTAATTGAAAAATGATTCACCAGCGTTGGTTGTTATCCTAAGGAACGGGCTTGGCAGACGGACCACGTGTATGGAGACGAAGGACCGCAGTTGGTCGTCAAATTGGTCTGTTCTTTATAGTCGGGGACTTATAATCAGATTTGAGCGTGGGTACGGGACCGGCAGTCACAATAAGCAGCCAGGGTAATCGGCATTGAATATTGTCTTGAGACATCGTTCGCCATTGGATCGTTACCGTGCGTGATGCCTCGCACTCAGCGTCGCACATAGACACAGGCCTACCAGTTACGAAAAGTGTTTGAGGTGAGTGACGACGACTACCGTTATCACGGTAACCGCTTTATGATGTGTTCCACCTATGGAGCGTCATATTTCTAATAGGAATGATAGCATTCTGTTGGCGATTTACCTACAGTTATCTCTCGACGCGGTATTGTTCACAGGCTAGTTATGGATACCTGGGAAGTGCAATCATCCGCCAAGATGGCTCTTGCATCCTCACTGCACAGTTCATGCAGTTGCTGTTTTACTTAATGGAAGCTGAGCTCCATAGGAACGATGTTGTGACAAAGTTCGCGGAACGAACCCATCTCATTTGTTAAGTCTGAGGAGTATACAAGAACCAGACATCGTTGGCTAATTTTTCTGGGTAGGACCTGAAACTCTGTAGGTGCCATTTCATTCTTCCAGAAAACCGAAGAACGCCAAATATGCTAAGGTGTGATTTCGTGACTTATCCCGCTCAAACTGCTGCAACACATTTACGGGTGAAGCAAAGCTTTCTGCGCCAAAATGTCGCATATGTGTTCAAACCAAAAGTCATCCTAATCCACGTCCACATTTTTGCAACTCACCTAATTTCTTTTTCCACTGAAGCAAGCACAACTCTGACAGGAGCTCGGCTGGATAGTTTCCCCGCATTGCTGAGACCCCCGGAATCCTTAACTGGGCTCCAAAAGTTTGGACTGGTACTCCGAACTCATTTTCTTGATTACGTTAATCCATCAGAGCACGTCAAAGATTTCGAAAAGCCCATTTCATTGTTCGAATACTGAGTTCCACTAAGCAGCGTCCTGGAGCGGCTCTGTCGACCTTGGCGCATGAACGGAATTAGTTCCCGGTGAACTCAAAATGTCTTTCAAGATCCCGCGCGTGGAGTTTCCCCGCCGTCAACCCGAGTAAGTAGGTGGAAATCTCATAATTATCTATGCAGCGAGCGGATCGGATCAGATTACTCGTTTCTACCTATGCGTTCAAGCTCTCAGGAAAAGTGGCAGCTGGAGAGAACAAGCTCACAACTTACCAACAGCAGTTTGTTTTCTCGCGATGAATTCGAAGATACCCTGAGCTTAAGCCAGAGCGAAGATGTATGTTTACGGAATATATTTGTCAAGTCAACAGAGTCAATTGTTTTGGAGCTCTTTACGGAAGTTGTGGAACTCCGATGGCGCGGAGAATGAAACGGCGGACAGTGAAAACAACCATAATAACGCGGAGACTGAGCAGCTCCAGACTGCAATGAAGTTTGTCATTGCAATTCAAAATGGTGTTAACTGTTTTCAGTGAAACTCTATCTGAAATCCAGTTCATTTTAAGCGATCTTGAACAAGTTCTGTTAAGATTCTGTGGTTATAATCTTCTCATTTAGGATACACAGTCGTGGAAATGTACATCAAATGTAAATGGCACATACGACTCCTCTGGTAACCTCTTCTTCGTTGACTCAATTCTCACCGCCTTCAGATTCGAAAGAAACAGAAAGCATCATGTCGCTGGTAAAAACTATCCAAAACTGGGTCAAGCTTCAGAAAGAACAAGCGAATAGGTTTGAACAGGTGCTATTCGAATTCGATTTTTAACGGATTCAGTGTCTACATAGTATATCCTCCTCTCAGCTATTGCTCAACGAACTTGCTGAATCCACGGTGACAACCTTCAAGAAGTAAGTGTCCGGATTTCCAATAATAAAACAGTATTCTTGATCTGGAGCGACGCCGTAAAATTTGCACTCCAACCGGGATACCAGACCGCTCAAGGCTCCAGTTTTCGTGTAATTTTCGTACACCCCGAGAGAAGCAGGACTCGCCTCCAGGTTCGCAATGCATAGCTGGAGTGCCTAATTTGAGCCACAGCCTCCGACTCTCAGAGTCCGCTGCAAGAAGATCCAAAAGGCAAGCTTCGGTCAACAGCCAAAGTAAAAACCAAAGCGAAGATATGATACTTTTTTCCAAGCAATTAAAATCGAGCAGTGTGAATGAAGCAAAGTCTTGTTGCACAAGACCCAACTCTAGGGCCCCAAGCATGGTGAATGTCACCGCACTGCGGATGACGTTTCCGAAAACTCCCATTACCGTCCAAAAGAGAAGTAACATTAGATCTACCTTACGTTGGAACAAGAGCCTGTGAGTTTTTATTTCTTACTGCAATACGCTGTCATTTTGATACATTTGGATCATTAAATTATAGTGTCTGTGTGCTACTACCGCATACATAACAAGTTTGACGACAACAACAGGGGCGTCCTTCAGCATTTCTTGATCATATTCTGTTTTGACATACTGAATTCGCACATCCAGGAAAGACATTCAGAAACATGTTTAGCCTATTTCTCACGTAAGTGTAGCCGATTGTGTGGTGCTATTGTCGCATCTTAAGGGGCCAGTGGGGTAGCTAGTGTGTCACAGTGGATTTTCGTTTAGGCGTTCACCAAATGAGCCAACGCAACTGTAGGAGACTTTGACATCCAACAGTAAAAGAACCGACTGATACGAAAATACATTCGAAGGGGCCACTTCCATCAAGAAAAATAGCTTAAAAGGTGCTCCTGAAGGTGCTTTGACTGACACAAGATATGCACAGGCAATAATACTACCGTCTTGTGACACACTGAAGTAGCATAGATTTCGTACAGAAGAGCTTCTTCATGTTGTATTAGAAGGCATAAGATTGAGCAAAAATCAGAAGCTTTGCATCTATTGGTTGCTCCAAAAGACTGTATAATCTATTGAACGACGTGACCTGTATTTCAGGGAACGCATGATTGTACGTTGTATCCAATGGTAAACTAGATTAGATTGATTAGGAAAAATAAGATACCAAGTGAGTGTGACGCTCAAGAGTGGCATGGCTTATTAAAATACTCAAGAATAGCCATACCTAAAAGTCGGATCAGGGATCCAGGTTGTAAATCACCAAAGGATGCCACTGGATGAATCCAGTAGGATGCAGCACGGTGAAGTAATTTTCAGGAAATTTGATTCTAAAATTCGGAAGCTAATGTATCAAACGTATGCTTGTCTACTACCTCTAAACAATACGAAAATAACAATGCAGGTCAGTCATCTCGAGCAACACACAAATGATGGAAGGCAACCAAGTAAGTTTAGAGAGGGATGTCAGTCAAAATTTATATCAGCCAACGGTGTTTTGCTTGTCATTTGGATAGGCGTCTTTTTGGTGTCAAACGATGAAGTTGATTTTCTCCGATTTCGTTGTCATCCACTACATAATTTTGAGTTAATTTGCAAGGGGATGCGCATGCCCGTTTTGCTGGTTTGTAGTCCAATCCTTCAAACGTCGTTATTCACCCCTGCTCCCACCTGTTACTATTTGTGATGCAAAATAACACACTGGAACGAAAATAAAGTTTTCGGTTTACCACTGGTTGTATTTAGCATAATATGCACCCTTATGAACGCAGTCAGTCTGCTCACATTATTAGTGTTTACTATGTCTGTAGCTGCCCTGGCTCCATATTGGTTGCTCACTTGCCAAGATCTGTGTACATTCGTTTGGCTCCTACCAGCCTACAGCTACTCTTCTCAAAATTTCGTCCGTAGAATTATCGGAGTTTTCCATATTTTCATTGCTCGAAAATCTGTTTGTAAGGTAATTGCCTCAGATAGGTTTGCTGGCGGTTGCGCTGCCACTTGTAGTGGTAGAAAGCTGCATGGGCTATCACATTATAATAGAGGTAGAAGATAGATACAGTGTCAAAAATGATTATACAGGAGACCTGTAACGGCAACGCGGTTCACAAACTGTGCGTCGAAATGCAATGGTCCTAGCTGCCACAACTTCGTTCGCCAAGCGTAAGCAGAATAAGGGAGTGAGAGCTACGTGTTGGAAGCAGTGACCAAATTGCGCATTGATGACAATAAATCTGTTTGCCCATGAAATGACAGCTACACTGTGAGAAATACGTCGAAGATCACGGTCAACTGTCGAGCAATCATAGTGCTTTTAGTGCCGACCTTCCTAATCCGTTCTTTCTTGGGGGAAGGCAGCATTGCTCTTCCCGTAAATAAGGATAAGCTGGTCACCTGAAAGGAAAGGCTTAGTGTCAGCACACTCTTGTCAGGGAGAACGGTGCGACCTTACCTCCATACTGCCTCATAATACCATTTCTCGCAGCACGGGGACACGTTCTTCGTCAGGATGCCCCCGTTTGCCGTCTTTGCATGATTGAATCTTTGGGTTATTACAGCACAGAAGCCCGTCAATCGCGACAAGGTGACAGCTTTAGGTTTGGAAAAAACTAACATGACAAAAGGGAATTGGTGATAAAAGCTGTCACAGGACGCAAATACAAAAATCGCGTATCCTTAATCGTAAGACAGACATCCAGGTTAGCTTAACTTTACAGCACATACCTCACCAACCATTTATCTCATCCAAACGAAGATGAATTAGCCAAGTAATTATAGCTGAGACAAACTTGCCGTATCTTGACAATTCATTGATTTTATTTTCCAGGTCTGTCCCATCGCTCGTACCGGCTGTTAAAGAGACAACGCCTCCCAAGTGTTCTACTCGCTATGTGCGAAACTCTCTTCATTTGACTGAAGATTGGAACAAAAAACCATTTGGAGATTTATTCTCAGCATCTTCGCCGTCATCTTCCAGTGACACAAGTGATTGTTTCTCGTTTTCCAGCCTTTCTGATATTTAAAATTTTCTTAATTATTTTGCTGCTCATGACTCTTATAGTAGTGTATTAGAGGGGGTACTAGGAAAGAGCATCTTGGGAAGATACATTCGACATTGAGGACTAAAAAACCCGGAGGATACTAAAGATCCCACTGTGCATGAAAAATCGAAGCAATTAATGTAAAAAATAGTCTGAACACACCGTGATAGCTGTATGATACGGATAACAGTGACGGACTCTAATACCAGATATATAATTATAGGTTGCAATGTTAGTCCACCAATACAGCTCAATGCATTTGTAATTCGACACCACGGTCCACCCAGAAATCGAAAAGGAAGTGCAGTTCCTGACGGATATAAGTGTTGGGTTTTATTGGCAGGGTGAGCGATTTGAGCTGACCTATTCGTCTGAAAGTTGGTACAGTTTTTCGGTAATGTAGCCATTCATAATGAACAATGATATCCATCATTCTAGGGTATTAGTTTCCAGTGAGGGACAGCCACTAAATGTATTACCTGGAAACGTCCTGTATTTTAGGATACGACCCAATGAGAAAATCGTATTTTTCGCGAATTAGTTTTGATGTCATATTCATCAGAAAACTCTTCGAGGTCACTGGCAAATCATACCAGATCTTGACAGCCTTTCACAGCGACATTAAACGCCACTGACTTCGGCTTATTTCATTTTACCAGTGCTCGTGTTTCCTTTCTACCTTTATAAATGGTGTGCTGTAAGTGTGACGACTATAGATGGTAAAGCTCACTAGCTTTTTGTTTGTGATTTTCCAAGCTCCATCAGATTCATCGGACATAAGTTCACACTCATTTGGTCATCATGAAGGCCTAACAAAAACGGCTAAGGGAAAACTCAGGTCACCGTAATGTTCCATCAATCCGTTAAGTGAAACGGTGACGACTTACCTTGAAGGTCGTGCCATGCCTCTCAGTTTTAGAAGCCAGCCAGATGTTGTCGACTTTTAGATATTCCGCAACAGTAACGGGAACGGCACTGTGGCTATTTGTCAAAATGGTTCCAGTGCTGAATACCTAGTACAGTTCACTTTATGGACTTTTTATCATGAGTATGCGCAAATGAAGTTGGTGTGTAGGGAGCTGAGTTAGGAGAGACGGCCGACTCAGAAGGGCATTGTATGTCGAGAGCTTTAAAGGCCGTTTGTCACCCGTTTTTTCGCGTGGTATTACTCTACACATCCATTATGGATGTTTTATTGATTTAAAACCACGGAACAGATTAGAGAATTGCTTAGATCATGTGCTGCTCATGTTCTCTGTGTTCAAACATATAACAGAAACTTGTTGCTGCAGGAGTGGTCTTTCGAGATGCACTTCTAATAAACTCGAGGTCCTCCAAACCTGCCATAGTTGGAGGAGTGGTCGTTATGGTGAATGGTCACTGTATGAAAGCAACGCATCGTTCCCGTACAGCTCATAATTATGGGTCATTGATCGAACAGAAGAGGATCAGGTCGCTAGACAAGCGTACGATACGGAGATTGGGGTTGGAATTACACGAAATCGGTAATCTTGAAACCCCTTGTAGTTGAAACGTACCAGGTTATCCACCATGAGGAGAGCACAGTTTGTTTCTTCAAACATTTTATCGCACAAGAAGAGCCAGATGAGGTCAAACAATGACTTGGCAGTGAAGTATAAAAGCTATTGCCAGCAAATTCAGCTGCGCTGGTCATTGCTGTCTTCCTGGATGGGGATCCCGATACGGGCACGTCAATGGTTAGAGGCGTTGCCAGACATTGCCCAGTCGTGCCCTCAATGGCGCTCATGCATCCAAGCGATTGTCTTCAATACATAACTCCCCAATTCCTTCCACTTGACAGTGCTGTAGCTACGCAACAATTTATCAGCTCCCGAGTCCTATGCGCAGATACCTACCGCACCTTCACAAATCATCAGTGAGCGAAACTGTGGTAGCTACAACCACTGTACGAAAGGTGCGCGGTTCTGACAGCCGATTATGATGACATCATTTATTATGGTTCGATTCGGCTAAGCTCTTTCCAATGCCTCACGTTGACAGAGTTTGTGTATCAAGAATAAAGAAACGACATTGAGATAAACTGAAACCGAGTGGAGAAAAATGCAGTACCTCCTATTTTTTGGATAACTCGGACAATGAAACGCCTCCACCAAAAGATGAATAAAATGGCGAAATTTCCGTCGGAAATGCTGGAGTAGTGAAGTGCGCACATTTACATCCAGCTATTCAGCTACGGGTCTGCGTAGTTGACTTCTCAATGGGAAACAACGCTGTTCACTGGGTGAACACGGTCCAACTGAACAGAACACGTGTGGTTGTGATCCGATACGACGCGTAAACATCTAAGGTAACCGGATGGAGCTACTTTGATGCGTCTTCGTGGAAGTGTTGTTGTAGCTAACTTTGAGGTCAACCACAAGCCTGTAATACACACGAGCTCATACTCGGTGAGCTAAATCCTGTCACATTGCGGTCCCCAATAATTTCGCTGACGGTGCTCGATGTTTTAGTTCTTTTTAGACGGCGATGTTTGTACAATGATGAATAAAACGGTAAAGATAATGTTCCCCCAATAAAGCTCAAGCTTACAGACTAGAAACACAGGGCAGTTAAGGAAGTAAATTCTGGAACTTTCAGGATTAGCAAAACAGAGCCACGATGCAATGCAACTGCGTGGCCAGTGGAGGGCCAAACGACAAGGTATTGGAAGTGCGCCTAAAAATGGGATCCTAATGGTGAAAAATGATAAAATCCGCATTGAAACATGCCAACCTCAGACGGGGAGGTTAGAATTATTGATGATATCTTGCTCTGACTTTCTTCAAATATTAAAGGACCGAGAGGACTCCAGATGAGCCAGCAACGTTTGCGTTTGCCGCGGCACAGCCAATGAAACGGATTGTGTGCGGTGCTGCCACATCCGCATTGGAGACTTTCTACCTTAGGTCAAGTTAAAGAAGAAATACAACAGAGTCTTCGAATACACAACGTAGCGATGTTCTGTCTTTTACAGGTCCCCATTACCAATCCCAATTTCACGCCCTTTCCTCATAGAACAAACCAGTCATGGTGCTTATTCATTCAGAGTAAACCAACAGGGGGATAGGAAGGGATCCAAATCTGCTGTAAACACGAGCGCGCCCAACACATACTTATAATCGATGGTATAGCTCAGCACCAATTGACTAACGGCTGATCTTAAAAGCGATAAGGTCACCAGTTCTATTGCACTGAGTGCGCATCAAGCCCAAATTTCATTGAAGATGAGCTATGTATGCATGTATACGAACAACAATAAAGATCTGTGATACAAATATGTACATACTATAAGGATTAAGAAACTCCGACATCAGAGATCATATGATCAAACTAGTCGGCAATACTGCCGTTGGAGGAGAGATAACCGTGAGGTCTGTTAGTAATTCCCAGTGTTTCGGACAATGCGAGATAGGGCAGCGCTGACAAGAGCTGATTGTGACGAGACTCCGCCCACCTGAGTATAAAGGTACAGGACTCGAGGAACTACTTCAGCCATCGTCGATTTCTCAACCCCTGCGTAATAAATGCTTGCTCAAGCACGTGCTAACTACATGAGAGCTGACTGTAATCGGTTGAACATTGCAAAAACCGTTTATGATGCCGTCTGCTTCATGTATTTAGAAAGAAAGCGCTCAGCTGTAGCACCCTTCCGGTGCCTAGCTGCCATGCCACCCGAAGGAAGCACGAGGGCTGGGATACTGCCAGGTTGCCCAAGCCTAGACAGGGGAAGTCGAGTGGCGGGGGTCGGATTCGAACCACGAACCTTCCGGTCAGTAAATTCGCGCTCTAACCACTTGGGCCAGCCGTCTGCTTATGTATTTAACTGAGCCAAATGGCGCATTCGTGAGTGAAAACCGAGTAATCCTATAAATTTGGTAGTTTTCAACTAAGCGCGTGAATCCAATTGAGACCCACGCATCTGAGTTGCATTCGGTTCTCATAAATGCCACTGAACCCGTGCTGGGATCCAGGAACTGTACGATAAATACGGATGTGTTGAACAGAGTTCTTGAAATTTCACTTCTTTTTCTATGTGAAGGTTTGCAAATCAGCCGGGAATTGATTCTTATCGGAAACGTTAGAACATCAAGCGTGGTAACTGCGATTATATCGGTGCCAGGAAGTGTCCAGACACGAAATGTTCATGTGAACGACGCGTCCCCATCAATATCACACGTCCCGGATAGCAGGTTCGTTGACCAAGCTTACCAAACACGGCTTAACAACATGCGACCAGCGAAACGGGTGTGGAGATGTTCACAACAGAAACGTCGTTACTTGCTGGACAGAATGAACGAGCGAACGACCATGTTTAGCCATCCTACACATTTACGCAGTTCTATATGTTTACCTGACAATACAGCGATGGATCGGAGCCTCTGCCTTCTTTTCGCGTAGTCTGACAGGCTCAGTTCAGGCGTAACTGTAACGGCCACCCACAAAACAACAATCGGAAAGGGAGAGCAACCTTCGGTTGTTCCTTCGTTGACAGGACTGACCAAGGAAGTGTAGTTCAGACCTCGAACGGGGACTTTCGACATGAAAAGTGAGAAAATGGGGGCGGTATTTTGGACCTAGGTACACTTCTAGCCATGAAAGCCTGCAGCGAAAGGGTTTGCATGAAGGAAACTACTCACAAGGTTACTGAAAACTCCTTGACAGCCCACGACCGGTTTCACCCTCCCCATTCGGGCTCATCAGGTAGGCACAGTCCCCGAGTTTCCGTCACCCCTATGTTCTAATTGCGTTTTGTTCTGGGATCGGTGTGTGGCAAAATCCTGCCTTCAAATGTGCCTAGAGCTCTATCGGGATAACGAGATGGATGACTTCCCCCATTCTACCGGATAAGACAGCGACACTTGAAGTTAATTGTTCGCCTGGCACGTGTAAATTCGGTTTTCTTTGGCAGCAAAACTAGCTTGTCTAAACCCTACTGGAAACATCGTTTTCACAACCCCCTAGGAAAGGACAGTGCGAATTCAGCTCCAAATTGTTTGGCTGCATCCGTATTTACGATAAGAGGAATCATGCCGGCCTTTTTCATGCAGGTAGAGATAAACAGTCATCAATGTGGCTCCAGATACCGTACAGACACACTGGCCAAACAACAAAAAACGTTGGATGTGATGCCTTAATTGACGACAGAGTATTCGGAGCTGAGTGCCGGTAGCTACGAACAGTCAAATGAGTCAAGAGAAACGTCGACGAATTCTATGCGGACAGGCGCCAAAACAACGTGAAACCTGATCCTCAGGTTTCACACTTCCACAAGAGACGACGTTGCTCGTGAGTAACATAGAAAGCTGACCGTGGATGCGTTCGGAGGAGAATGAACAACCCTTCCAAATCAGTCTTGATCTAGAATGCACTTTGTCCAACTCCCCAGTATTTTTATTATCCAAATCGTCTTTACAATCGCTTCCAAGGATCGGTTGATGTTGACCTGACAAGCTGTCGAAGAGTTTTCAGCAAACTTGTGAGTAGTTTCCTTTACGAAAATATACTGCAATATCTCGAATATCGTACCAACTGAAACATGAGGTGGCCTGTGTGCAGCACTTTCGGTTGTAGAATATCATAAACGAGAGATTCAGTTGGGTCTCTCGTGAAGACTAAATTGATTTGCAAATGAGTGTATTTCTCGAAAACAGTCCAAGTAGAACATAATGTTGACGGAACCTCGGGGACTGCGCCTAACTGATGAGCCTCAAGAAGGGTGAGACCGGTTGTGGACTGTCGAAGAGTTTTCAGCAACCTTGTGAGTAGTTTCCTTTATACAAATTACTTGACCTTCTTTTCTATGTTGTGCGTTTTCCCCCGTGACCTTTCCTCACTAAATAAAATCTTGTAGACAAAAATTCATTGATAGACCAGGTCATGTAAACGGGCGAGCCTTAAAACAAATCAGCGAAAACAAGAAGACCGAATGGATATGTGAGTTTATAAAAGAAAGAAACACAAAAACATGAAAATATTACGAATAGCGGGGGTGATACAGAGAAAAGTCGATATGAAAGCCTATCTCTATTCGTTTGTTGGTTATGAGAAGCGAGACATGGAGGCGAGGGGGAGTACAATCGGTAGATGTGAGATTATCACAAGACAAGTTGGCCCAACCGAAAAAAAGAGGGCGATCACGATAGGACGCATCCACTCTCGTTCTTTGGATCCTTGTCTGTATTGAAGATTGGTTTTTCATGGACAGGTTCTACGGGAGCGGTGCGATCCGATTTGGTCTTATGATCTTTAGCACGCTGCTGCATTCGAAAGAAAAGAACACAAGGAAGGGCCACCAAAAACGAGTATGATTGGACAAAGTCAGTGGCACGTAGTGCATTCATTAAGAAAATCAATGCACACGATTGGATAGCCTCAAGTATTAATATCCTAGGTACTAGTTGCGCGTAACTCGAACTCTGCGTGTTACAACCGTAAGCGACCCAAAGCACGAAAGAAAAGAAATAGGACACCGGAAACTTACAGAACAAACCTGTGAGGCATCTCCAACACTCAGTCAGACAAACTGGATATAAAACGACAGTATGGACATCACTGATGTTGGTTAATCGCCATTTCGTTCAGTTTCTCAAAACCGAGCACAAAGAAGGTCAAAAAGATCCCACCATCGACGACTAACACCATCAATAACATCCAACCTTTTCATCCCATTCTGCCATGTCAAATTTCACCCATCACTACCACACTGAATTGGGCACGAAATTCGGTATGTGTGACATATGACCCAGCCATCTTAGCTTGCAGTGCTGGATGCATTCTTTGAGGGAAGTACCCTCTACTTCATTAAAAAAACCGTCTGCTGACTAGCTCGTTTCGAATTCGCTGATTTCAACCGATTTCAGCTTTACTTCAGACACACTGGTGAAGATATCCCAGATCCTATGCTCTAAACTGACTAGCTGTTTCGAATTCGCTGATTTCAACCGATTTCAGCTTTACTTCAGACACACTGGTGAAGATATCCCAGATCCTATGCTCTAAAGAGGGCCAAGTTTCGCAACCGTACAACGATACAATCCATATTGTAGTCTGATACACGCATCCTTTGGGACTGAGTCTGTTTGAGGCCACAAGTGACGCAACCTGGCGAAAGCGCTCGTTGACCCTGTCTGTCACACTACCGTCAGGGATAGTATCACATCCGAGATACGTATACGCATGTATACGCAATGTATTATAATGTTCCACAACTTAAGCTGTCACTCCTTGAGCTCTTAGAGGCACGTTATGTGACGATTGTGCGAGGATTTTGTGTCACTTTCTCAAGTATTCAGTTTCAGTAGCATAACACAAAGCGACTCAGAAAAAAGGGATACAACAACGTGGTCAAGTTTGAAAAAACCACAGTCTAACATCACAACGATCCACCACAACCCACTTCTTTTTGAAGGATCATCTCAGACACCTTCTTTTCGTTGAACCCTTTATAAGCTTCTTTCCAACGTTGATCGACTGACAGATCCATTTCGGGAGCTTGCGGTTCAACCACACCGAACTGGGCCTTCAAATCGAACACTGGAACCGAGGGAGGCACACGCTGGTGAAATCTGTGGAAAATTGCAACGGACAAAGGACCTAGTTGAGTTGACGTCATCAATGCGTTGTGCTAGGAAGTGCAGAAGTCAAGGGTTTGGTTATTGGCACAGACTGAAAAGCTCATCTTGGAGAAAACCAAATTTACTCTGTTACGTGGATGTACTGATGATGTCACATTGACTGGCGAGGAAGCGTTTGCAATCAAATTGTCCAGGCCAGCGAAAAAAACAGTGACCGTCTAAAAATGTGGCCGCGCGAATCTGAACCGTTGCCATGAATTTATCCTACGGGCTGTGCAGAATTGCAAAAAGATCACGCGGATGAGCCTTATAGATGTATCGCCAAAAAGAACGCAACTGTACCGTCACAGTTCTAATTTTCCACCGACAATTGGTATCCGATGAGGCTAGCCGGACACATTTCGTAAGAGTGAAGCGAACAATTTGAGCTGTGCAGACGACAGGGTGAGAGATCACAGAGGTATATCACCGGTTATTAAAATACCAATCAGTAGACAACACAGCACGGAGTAGTTCAAGGCGATTTCAGACCCAAAGCGCGGCTTTAATGACTAGATGTGCACGGACACCTAATTCAGTTTCAAAAAGCAAATTATAGTACCACAGAACTATGGCATGATCGCTGCCCGACATAGTAAGGAGATTTTTGAAGCTCGCGTTAGGTCTCGTTCATGGACTGGAGTCCGAAAAGCGAAAAAGCACTACCACCACAAAAAAACGAAGTAACTGGACCCCGGAAACAGCATCATCCGTGATGCCGGTTATGGCAGCAGTTCACGAATAGCATTTTCAGCTAGAACAAGTCGAGTAAAAAACGATACAAGGACACAACAGAAAATCAAGAACCTTTATTAATGGTAAAAACGAAGGAGTTTTGAGTGACTTGAAAATAAATGATTGTTTTGGGAGGTTGTAGAAATTTTCGCCGGTTGGTTTGCACGATTATACGATTTCTGACTTTCACGTGACCAACTTTCTAATTTTCTGCAGCTCAATAGGTACGTTTGACTACGGCAGTTACAAGCAAGTACCATCCGAACACAAGGATACGAAATTGAGAAGCGCTTGGTCGCTCATTTATCGACCACTGGGCCATATTGATGAGTAAAAAATTGAAAAATAATAATAAATAAGAAAATAAAGAGATAAATCGTTCAACTGCAACACCCTCTTCGTGCAGGGCTCCCATGCCACCCGAAGGAAGCGCGAGGGATAGGGTAATGCCAAGTTGCCCAAGCCTAGACAGAAGAATCGAGAGGCAGAGGTCGGGTTCGAACAACGAACCTTCCGATCCCATGGAAAGATCGATTTGTAGTGGATTAGCAGCGTTGATTTCGATCAATCTTTTAAGTTTCAATTATGATGCCGCTAGGACGTAAAAGGTTCTCTTCTCACCAGTAGGACTTCAACAATGGCGACGGGGATCAAAATAAGACGGAGTGACAGATCAAGCAGTACGATCCAATACCACCAAATTAAAGAATAACATAGGAACATGTGATTCGGGAGTGGAGAGAAGGCTAACCATCAGTAACGCGTAATCGTTCAGACATCAAGTTACCTCGTTTAGTAGCAGCTGACCTGTTCGAGAATGATATGGTAACGGGGAAGTGCACCATTCTAAATCCTATGACCTCAGGTGTTACATTGAAACCAGACCGCCGCACAGCACATTGGACCGTTTAGATGCTCATCATCATCAGCATCAGTAGCACCAAAAAAAGCAACATTAGTGTTGGCACTGATGCTTCGGCAGCGTTCAGCTGTAGCACCCTTCCGGTGCCTAGCTGCCATGCCATCCGAAGGAAGCAAGCACGCTGGGATACTGCCAGGTTGCCCAAGCCTAGACAGGGGAAGTCGAGAGGCAGAGGTCGGATTCGAACCACGGACATTCCGGTAAGTAATTTCGCGCTCTAACCACTTGGGCCATCTCGCCCCTGATGCACTGATGCTTCACAGCCGTACAACCATAAGGTTCGCCTAGTCATATATATATATACATATTTCCCCCGATTAAAGTGCCTGCAGCACAACCAAATACCCGTTTTCTAATCGCCTCGTTACTGACGCGCTGACGCCATCCGAAACCAGCCACGCTTCTGAGGCATTGGTGGTCGAAAACCTGAAGACGCCTCACATCATCTGTCCGCAGAGGCCATGTCTCGCACCCATACAACAACACAGCCCTTACTGTAGCCTGGTACACACGACCCTTAAGATCCAGTGAGATGCCTTTTTGACGCCACAAGTGACGCAAATTAGCAAACGTGATTCGAGCCTTTGAGATTCTTGCACTGACTTCATCAGACACACTTCCGTCAGAGCTAATACAACTATTCCAAAATAACAATGCAGCCACAAGCATCACAGAGGGAATCGAGCGGTTTCGGATGAAGTACTCTCAGTGGGTGCGGGTGCAGGGATTGTCAGGAAGAGTAATCGGACTACTAGCTGACGGATGTCTGGCAATCCCAGAGGGCAACCATTCTGTCTTTTGCACTCAGGTGACATGTGTCGACCCCTTGAATATTGGAAGGAGGTACGACGCGTGTTCGGTGGGTTTTCAGTAATTAATAGCCCGTATCCAGGACGAGGCGGTGTTGTTATTTCCTACCGCGAGATAATCGTAGTCTACCGCTGCTGGCCCCATCAACTCGGAGATATCAGAATAGTGAGGTGCATAAAATCCCTAATCGGAAGTTGATCATCATCATCATCACCGACAGCATGACATCAGTGTTCAACACCGATGCTTCACTGCCGTACAATCATGATTTATTTGAAAGCCTTATTGTAAAAAGAGTAAAGGTGGACGGGACTTAGTGCTAGCTTGACACAACCATTCCCAGGTGTCTACACCTCCAGACGCTCACTCAGGCGATCTGGATAGAAACTGACAACAAGAACGCCACTGACATCGGTTGGCAGCCATATCTTGTAGTGTCTCCAACCAGGCACAGTGAAGCTCGTGCGGAAGTTGAACTGATAACCAAGGCGTTTCAAAACTATTGAATATAAGTGCCAATTTGTAGTGCAGACGCAAAAGATAGATGACTTCCACATCGAAATCGGATACTTGTAACCGATTCTTCGGCACTACGGACTACGTACGGTAGAACCACCGATGAATATGTCGATGAAAAGCTCCAGACGGTAATCCGATGCACGTCGGTCGGGCCGTTTGCTATGCGTGTCGAGTCATCGGAGACCGAAATAACGGCTACTTAAACGGTTTTAACAACGGCAGAGCGCGTGCTGTTTTCGCACAAGCAAGAATGACCAGTATTAAAGGGGAAAATTGTTTTCTCAGGCCTGAGAAGCAAACTCACGGGAAAACGACAGTGTAGCTGGCCGTGAATCATCGTCACTCGCCTAGCTCCACTCTAGTTCCATCGGATATTATTAGCCGGCCTAAGTAAGCAGCGAGTAGGACATGAGAACAACACAACGAGACTGACAAAATAAATGGCAGAAGTTCTGGTTTTGGAAGATCAGCGAAAACATAGGTGCTGAAGAGAAGCAAAACTGAATTGCCAGCAAAAAGAAACTCACATCATACTGTTTTCTCGTTCCAATTTACGTCTCGTGTTCTGTATCATTACACCAAGGCGACGAAAGAAACAATGCTCTGCCATCTTGGCTGACAGTCCAACACCCTCAGTTCTTCCGTACACTTTGGCGGTTTCGATGGCCAACTTGTGAGCTAAACGAACAAAATAGACAGGACTGTAAGAAAAGTGCATATAGGTGATCAAATGCTTGGATAACGAGATGGATAAAAAACCGTTCGGCTGCAACAGCCTTTTAGGGCCTAACTGCCACGCCACCCGAAGGAAGCACGAGGGCTGGGATGCTGCCAGGTTGCCGAAGCCTAGACAGGGGAAGTCGAGAGGCAGAGGTCGGGTTCAAACCATGGACCGTCCGGTCAGTAAATTCGCGCCCTAACCACGTGGGCCATGTCGCTCTTAAACCTAGATATTCATGTGTAAAGATATACCAACGAGCAAGCGAACGCTCGGAGCATAGCAGGAGGGGAACGCAAAATCTGATTGAAGCTCAGAACGTGTAGCGATCAAACCAGGCTCCAGCCCGATGCAATAAGGGAACCAGTCCACCAGGGTTTCGTGCTCCCTCTGTCGCTTCTAAATCCATAGCATGTACATCGATCTTAATGACCTAACTCTGCTACACGGTGAAGCCAGGCTGCCATAACCAGAGCTTCTTACTGAACCAACCGACAGCTAAGGCTTCCAAACCGTTGTCAATGCCAACATCATGCCTACTACCCGAAACGTCATATCTCCAAGGCGTTTAAAAGCTACCGCTTTAGAGTCGACTGTCCACGATACCGCGCTCAAATCACAATGAAAAAGGACGAGTTACTTCTATGGACAACCACACGTAACGAACACGAGTTCATGCAGGGATGTCTTGATATTAGGAGGCAAATAAAATGCCGCAGTTCACGGACGAACTGGTGACACGCGCTATACATTTGACAGGTTTCGTTGGACCCAGCTGTGACAGGCTTATTTATAAATCGTAAATAAACCCGTTGTTAGTAACGCTTTATTTCTCGGACTCGAATGACGGTTACACAAGCCTCCGGATCGATTGCATGCTGCACCGCATTTTCCCATGAAATGAAACTTGCAGATTCGTGAAATAAACAAGGTTATGACGGGAGAAGAATAGCATAAACAATATATTCAGTCGGATCTAGTTGAGTCTCCGTTTAAAAGAAAATTAGTGTGAAAATGAGTGTATTTCGCGAATGGCGCAGAACTTCGGTTTAAGGAGGACACATACGGATCGCGAGGACCCGAGGGGCTACTTCTAATTGATACACCTGAAAAAGGGGGCGAAAGTGGTCATGGGCCGTCGAAGAGACGTCAGCAATCTTATGAATAGCACGCCCCGTCAAGAAAGTCACACAGATCTTAGGGGGATGAGAATGCTTGGAACATGGCAAGTACGGATCACAAGTTCATGCATGCCAGAACAAAATGCTATCTCTCCAAGATGCATCAACATGGTACAATTCAACCACTGGGGAGACGGAAAGGTGCCATGCTACCCGAAGGAAGCACGAGAGCCGGGATACTGCCAACCTGCCCAAGCCTAGACAGGGGAAGTCGAGAGGCAGAGGTCGGGTTCGAACCACCGACCTTCCAGTCAATAAATTTGCGCTCTAATCATTTGAGCCATCTCGCCACCGGGTTACGGGTGAATTTACGTTCCGATCGAACTAGGCAAAATGTATCCCGACAACCAAACAGGACACTCCCCACCCGCCCGGAAGGTACACACAACGGAAGTCGAAACTAATCTCCATTTGCCTAGGTCAAAGGAGGATACCATACTCAAACCACCCCTTCAGTCAACCACCACACCAGAAAACAAACAACCATCTTTGTGGTTTTTATTCGTCCGGATGGATGCAACCCGCCTAGCCAAGCGACCCTAAGTGAATCAGCAGCCGGAAGATAATATCTCCGGTGGGATTGCCCCGTTAATTCTGCTCCTCAAATCACTGATCAGTGAACTAGTCCCTAGAAAAAATGACACGTTTTCACTGCACTCCCAGTTCGTGACAGTATTGTCGGGATGGTTGCAGACCAAAGATGTGGTGTGTTCTGGACAATGATATGGAAACAATTCATGTCGTGTGACAGATTTCCCTCATAAAATGTTTTTCGTTGCCTCTTGGAAGGCTTTTTGACTAGTGGAGGAAAATGTGCTTACTAGGGTGGGGACTACTGCCTTGGAAACGCCGTTGACGGCACTGACGCGTACACACAACATTCCACTCGCATCTGAATTGTGAATTCGCACCTCGTAAGGAGATCATGTCAAAACTCAAACGGCGCAGTGAACAAAACTCTTCATCCTCAGGACAGCATACCAGACGACCGGAACCACAAGGTCATCGGAACACTGTCACATTCCAATCGACGGCGGGTAACCGTCCTCAAAGGTGATTGCGCGTCAAGAAGAAAATAGAAACTTCCGTTAAAGAATACCGGATGAAATATCGTATAGCCTACCTTTTTCAGCTTCAGCAATCACAGCCAAGCCGGAACCAGCCTTTTCCATCTTCAGTTGTTGCTCGGCAAAGTATACATAGGCCTAGAGGAAAACAAACGAGAGAAGAAACAAGTCAGAATTAATTAGGTTGGAGTACATCGTTGGTCCACTGTGCTTCAAAACTTCACTGGGAATTTACGTTCCGATCGAACTAGGCAAAATGTATCCCGACAACCAAACAGGACACTCCCCACCCGCCCGGAAGGTACACACAACGGAAGTCGAAACTAATCTCCATTTGCCTAGGTCAAAGGAGGATACCATACTCAAACCACCCCTTCAGTCAACCACCACACCAGAAAACAAACAACCATCTTTGTGGTTTTTATTCGTCCGGATGGATGCAACCCGCCTAGCCAAGCGACCCTGAGTGAATCAGCAGCCGGAAGATAATATCTCCGGTGGGATTGCCCCGTTAATTCTGCTCCTCAAATCACTGATCAGTGAACTAGTCCCTAGAAAAAATGACACGTTTTCACTGCACTCCCAGTTCGTGACAGTATTGTCGGGATGGTTGCAGACCAAAGATGTGGTGTGTTCTGGACAATGATATGGAAACAATTCATGTCGTGTGACAGATTTCCCTCATAAAATGTTTTTCGTTGCCTCTTGGAAGGCTTTTTGACTAGTGGAGGAAAATGTGCTTACTAGGGTGGGGACTACTGCCTTGGAAACGCCGTTGACGGCACTGACGCGTACACACAACATTCCACTCGCATCTGAATTGTGAATTCGCACCTCGTAAGGAGATCATGTCAAAACTCAAACGGCGCAGTGAACAAAACTCTTCATCCTCAGGACAGCATACCAGACGACCGGAACCACAAGGTCATCGGAACACTGTCACATTCCAATCGACGGCGGGTAACCGTCCTCAAAGGTGATTGCGCGTCAAGAAGAAAATAGAAACTTCCGTTAAAGAATACCGGATGAAATATCGTATAGCCTACCTTTTTCAGCTTCAGCAATCACAGCCAAGCCGGAACCAGCCTTTTCCATCTTCAGTTGTTGCTCGGCAAAGTATACATAGGCCTAGAGGAAAACAAACGAGAGAAGAAACAAGTCAGAATTAATTAGGTTGGAGTACATCGTTGGTCCACTGTGCTTCAAAACTTCACTGGGGAGAAAAGGCTAATATGAATGCAAGTGATAGAAAGCAAGCTATGAATGAATATGGACAGCAACGATTGACCGAAGAGTAACATGCGGTAGAGGTTTTAGGAAACGACAAGTGTAACCCCAAGGAGAAACTACATTGCGATAAACGGTAAATACCAAAAGATTCTTCAGTAGGCGGTCGTGGGTGATAGAACCAGGGCGGAAAACTTGAATTTCTTGGAAGCATG